TTATCAGTTTCCTTAGTGAGGTCAGCACTATTTATAGACATTAAAGATATTCTCAGAAAACATAAGAAAATATGCAAGTAACAATACATGAAGCAGAATCACTAGAAATTAAATGGCAACATTATTTCTCAGTACTTGTAGTTACACTCTCAGCAACTTGCCCATCACTAGTGGCTTTCTAACAATACCTTGTTGAGTCCCTGAATCAAGAAAGTTGCTAAGTGCCATATTTGCCACTTAAAGGGGCCAGCTAAATGCTTAAAATTAGATGTGTGTCTCGGAGGAGAGAGCTGAGGCCCAGCCAGGCAGCGCCTGCAACGCGAAAGCGGCTCCTCTGAGCCCCATCCTCCCCGGCTGCCCTGGACCCCTCAAGCATCAGGCTGGACCCCAACATACTGCAGGGCTTGGGCAATTCTGACCTATTTTCTTCTTATTCTTGGGGTGGTGACAGTCATTAGTGTCTTTCTCACTGGTAGTAAGAGATTATTTAATCTGTTTTTACTAAGTTACTTGTGGAATTGAGGCCTGTTCTATAAATGCTAGAAAATGACATAGTAGGAGTTTGTTCAAAGCCACAGAGCTGGTAAAATCAGCACCATAAATTCTTTTCTAATCCCATACTTATTCCCTGAGGTTAGAGTACTCCATACAGATAATAAATAGGTATCAAAGACTTAAGTAGACAGATTATCTAATGCCAAAATAGGTATGCATTTCTTAATCTTAGCCTTCAAACACTTGCATAGAATGCACAGAATTTTCTTCCAGTAGCTTTTTGCAATGCGTTATGATACTTTACTGCCTTGTTGGCTATTTACTTGGAACTTGCACTGCAAGACATTCAAATATACAGTCTAAACACGGAAGTCCTTCTTGACTTCTACAAACAATTCAGTTAATAAAATTGTAATAAAAAAACTCCTAGTGCAAGTTCAACCTTGAATGAGCTTGACTATAAACCCTGGATGAAAAGAGGCAGTGTCATATTCCTGTGACACCTGGCAACGAGTTCAACGCTACCGCTGTGAGGTTTAGTCCAAGCAACCACTTTCATTTCAGTGGTGATTAGGGGCCAGTTCTGGTAAAGCTCCCTAAACTGGCCTCTCAGAGCCTGGAGATCTGGATGAGCTTTAAATCCTCATTTGGATTTGGAAGCCCTTGAGCTTTCTTTGTCCTGAGCAAACTGCAGTGCTGACCTTTCCTTTGATTTGATCCCAGTTCACACTTACATTCGAGCCTCTCCCCGCAGCACTTCGGAAGTTCATTCACAACTTGGTCCATCATCTGCCAGGGGACAGCAGCAGCAGAGGCTGGTCCAGCCCTGCCAGCTTCACTGTGGGACACACGCCAGAAGCTCTGGGTGGTTTAAGTGACAGGTCTTTGCAGATCTGGCTTGTTTGGCCAGAAAAGGGCTGGGCAGCGCACGGACAAGCTACCGCTCCAGACCAGCGGGACCTTCAGCAGCTCAGCAGTGATGCAGGGCAGCCACCTCCTCACCAGCACAGCATGATTCAAGCTCATTTTGAGTAAAATGAGTCAAAATACCAGTCTGCTGGCTCCTCTGAGGAAGTGCAAGATTTTATTTCCTTTACTGATTTGGAATATGTTATTATCTAAGTACTTTTGAACTTTCTTAGCATAGCTAAAACACAAAGTCTTCCTCTGAAGCTCTGGCCTCAAAAAATTAAGTGTTCAGCATGTAATTAATGTAAGTTAGGTACCCTTAAGCTCTGATGGAAATCCCAGCCACAGCTTCTAGATAGCAAAATCTTCACAATTAAAAAAACATGAATATGCCTCAGAGACCTATCTAAAAACACTTTATACTCATTTTTAACTCTAGGCACATGAGTAGTCCATTGACTTCAGTACAGCTCAAAGGTTGGCAAGAATAGGTTTGAGTTTAGCCAACTGTGCAAATATGAATTGAAATCAAATAAATGCAGTAAATATCAAAACCCTTCATTTTAGTGAGTTACGGAAGGAGTTTTGAATGGAAGCTCATTCAATAAAAGATTGATGCCACAGCCAGTATTTTTGTCTATTTTGAACTTAAAATTACACCAAAGCACACAAGAGAGTTATGTTCTGCTTTATAGCACCTTTTGCTTCTATCCCAAATACGCTATACTATATTAAACCTTTTCCCCTGGGATCAAATACATTGTGCTAAATTCTGCAGTAAGAGCCTGATCGAAAACTCACTGAAGTCCACAGAAATATTCTAATTGATTTCACTGGGCTCTGGAATAGGTCCATACTGACATCCATTCAGCTTGACTGAGCCAAGCCTTCCAACCCTTCTTGTGGAGCTGCGGCGGCCAGTGGGGCCCTGATGACTTCAAAACCAAACTTTAAGGTCACGGACAGTCAAATGGCATCACAACAAGTATATGACAGTAGAATGAAATCATTATTTAGTAGATTTTTAAAAAAAATCTATTTTCTGAGCTCCCCAGAGTATTTTCCAGGTAAGAAAAACTCTCAACTTTCCTTTGATCCCTGATAAATTTGTCAGACTGCCTCACAAACTACTTACTGCAGCATACGGGTTGCATGAGTAGAATAAACAGGCCACACCAAATCAATGCACAAATACTAACACATTTGGAGTTTTTGACTCTTTGCTAGCAGCCAACATCAACCAGCTAACTCACCCTGGTACGGAACGTCTGTTTTCAGCTGGGTCATGCACATCTTATTTTCGCAAATAAAAAGATGCACTGTACGTCTACTGATTTAATCACTTACAGGCTGAAAAAGCAATCTTATTTAGTGCAATCTCCAGTGTATTCCTGGTGTTAAACTCATACTAAGGTTCCACCTTAGGAATTAAATATGAGCTTTCTGCATCAGATTTGATTTTCTTTTTTGTCACCAGTCTTATTCCTGGCTGGCTCAATAAAACATACGGACTTCCGACACAAATTTCAACATATATTTCAGTAGAGACGCTGGGAGAAAGGCTATTCTTTCCCATCTACTGCCCGATCCTGCCTGCTTCCTACCTGCTTGTGACATTTATCTCCCACACACAATACCATACTTTCAAGGAGACCAGTTTAGTAACAAGCATGTCAGTCTAAATATGAGCATAAAGACTTTCATGGCTTGTGTTGTGTTTTAGATGGGGATGTTATTTTAAGAAACGAGTTGGGAAAGCCCCAAAGAGATTTCACATGCAAGCCCATGGAAAATGTGCACCTATTTGAGTGAAGGGATTTAGTAAACATCAATGGGAACATTTACTGAGCATTCCTTTAATACTTAGACATGTCTAGACCACCCTTAGAAGATAGCACTCATTCCTTTCATAATCCAAATGTAGGAGGTAGTAATCTGTTTTTTTAAAAAGGTATAAATATGAAAGCTGAATATGCCGTTTCCACGATTCTGAAAACACAGAACATTGAACAAACAAGGTCTCAGGTTCAATAGTAATTATTTCTTCTGCTGATTTGAGACTAAAGAAATGGTTTGGAAGGGCTCCATGCAGTCCTTATTTTATTAACTTTTCATGAATCAGATGCAAAACATATTTCACCTTCATTAAGAATCTATACCAGTTTGGTGCTTCTGGACAGCTCATTCGGCGCCCAGAGACGTATCTACACAAGGGCATACCAGATTCTGCCTGCTCGCCCATAGGTGCCTCAGTTCCCCAAATCTCATGCATCGTCATTTTGCCAGAAAGGGCTATTTCTCCAGTGCTCGCTTTGTTGCTCTCACTGGGCAGACTGTGGCAATCAGGGTGTTAAAATCATGAGTCTCTCTATAAACTACCACAAGTGATGGAGTAAACATCAGCAGAGACTGCTGCAGGGCAAGGAACACTTATCCTAACCAGAGAACCAGCAAGATGAACACCAGAAATCACATTGAGTGCCGATTGCCTGGAGTTTAGACTCTCCTTCCAAATCCTGATGATTTTGTCCCATCCAGTAGCTTTAAAACACTCAAGAAATCTCATCTACTGCAATTAAATACTGGTAGCATGACTTGACGGCCCTACACATATCTCAGAGCCTACAACCAGCCTAGCCAGAGGTTTCCTGCAGGTGCTCTCTCCTTGCCCCTTCCACGTAGCACATCTTCCTTGTGCCCGCATCGGGCAAAGGTGCGTTTTACCCGCACGCCCCGGCCCGGAGCACTGCGCTCCCGGCCCTGCGTGTCCCGCCCGCACCCCGCGCTGCG